CCCCTTGCTAAGAATCACCAGGCTAAGTGCCCAGACTCAGAATAGATGAGGAGAGAAGTAAGAAAACTGCTAGAGCATATAACTTTTAAAAAATTATACAAAAAAGTTGAATGTATAATTGAATTAGAATGTTAGAGTCAGCAATGTCCTGAAATAACCTGTGATATCAGAAAGAAAAAAATAAGTTCTTAGAAAGAAAATATTGTGGACGAAAGTGAAATTCATTGAAAATCTATATATCAGAACAACTAGAGTCTAACAATTCACAGGAAAAACACAGCACTCATTTATTGAAATGACAGTGAAGAAAAAACTGTTGTAAGATGTTTGTTAGTGAAGATCCTAGTTTGAAGGGAGTGAAGGGAAACATTCATAGGTGCAAAATCTACTGAAGCTGCTGGTTGAGATATTAACCTGGCAGGTCAGGATCACCTGGACACAAGGGGCAGGATACCAAGACTGGTATCTTGTTCCTTATGAATGTTTGTTACAGTTTGATACACAGGAACTGCTAAATGAATGTTATTGAGCAGGGTTTTATTTGAACTTTGGAAAAGAATAAATTGAATTCCCCTATACAGCACAAATAAGGAATTGTAGCAGGCTAATAAAATTTCTCATTTTTTTTTTTTGTTGGAAAGTGAGATATATAGAGAGGAGGAGAAGCAGAGAGAAAGGTTTTCCATCCACTGATTCACTCCCCAAGTGTCCACAACAGCCAGGGCCGAGCCTGATCCAAAGCCAGGAGCTAGGAACCTCTTCTGGGTCTCCCATGCAGGTACAGGGTTCCAAGGCTTTGGGCTGTCCTCTACTGCTTTCCCAGGCCGCAAACAGGGATCTGGGTGGGAAGTGGGGTAGCTGGGACATGAACTTATACCCATATGGGATCTTGGTGAGTACAAAGCAAGAATTCCAGCCACTAGGCTACCATGCTGGGCCCTCAATGAAGCTTTTAAAGAGTTCTTTAACAGGTTGAGACTCAGGAACGGCATGACCCTGTCTTTGCTCTGCTTCCAACTGTAAGTTGGTTAATGAGTTCTAGATGTGAAAACTTAATGCAGGTCATTTGAGAGAAGCAGAGAGGATGTGTAAGTCTCCATAATGAGCAGAAAAGCCCCGAGTCTGGAATCAGAAGGAGTTAGCTTCCACTTCCAGTACCACCTATTCATTCTCTCTCTCTCTCAATTTTGAGACCCCTGAGCAAGAAAGATATTAGGAGCTGATGACCCAGAGTTGTAGTAGAGTGGAAAGCCACCCCACAGCAGCCCTCTGTGAAAGAGCAGCATGGGAGGGTGATTCATGGCAAAATATTCAAGCTATGCTCCTTCATTGTTGATCTACCAAGACTGCACTGACCTTTGGCCAAATTCTTTGCCAGATCTTTGGAAATCTCATATTTGGAAGCACTGGAAAGTTACTGATAAAAATGTTATCATAAATATTAAGCAAGATCAAGTTCTATTTACTTTCAAAAGGAAGTTTATCATGGAAGCAGATTAAGTAATCCCTGAACTCTGGACCTTCACAACTAAACACTTAGTTTAATTGGGTATGAGTCTCAATGGTCCTTTTCGTTCTGCTAGTCAGTGTCACTTCAGTTTATAAGAAAGCACAGGATACATCATCTCAAATGTAAGAGTGATGATTTATGTGGTTATATTTATTTATTTATTTAAAGATTTATTTTTATTGGAAAATCAGATTTACAGAGTGAAGGAGAGACAGAAAGATCTTCCATCCACTTGTTCATTCCTCAAGTTGCCACAATGGCTGCAACTGAGCTGATCCGAAGGCAGGAGCCAGAAGCTTTTATCGGGTCTCTCATGTAGGTGCAGGGTCCCAAGGCTTTGGGCCATCCTTTACTGTTTCCTAGGTCACAAGCAGGGAAATAGAAGGGAAGTGGAGCATCCAGGATTAGAATCGGAACTCACATGGGATCTCAGGTATGCAAGGTGAGGACTTTAGCCACCAGGCTAATTGGGCCCCATGATTATAATTCTAAAAGACTTTTACTTTATAAAGATTAGATTATTGAGCTCCACATTAAGAAATAATTTTTTTTAATTTGAAAAAACAGAGGGAGAGAGACAGAGAGAGATATCCTTCATCCACTTGTTCACTCTCCAAATTCCAGCAATGTCTCCAATTGAGACAGGTTGAAATCACAAGCCCAGAACTCAATGCAGTTCTTTCATGGGTGGCAAAAATTGGCCTAAGATCTTGAGCTGTCACCTGCAGCCTCCCAGCGTGCATTTAATAGGAAGCTGCAATTGGGAATAGCTGGAACTCAAACACAGGCAAAACAATACAGATGCAGTGTCCCAAGTGGTACTTTATTCCTATATCAAATAACTGTCCTGCATTCCACATTTTAAAATGTAGCTGTTTAAAACAGCTTAAGGTTTAAAATTCAAGTCATATAAAGCTTTTTATTTTTAGAAATGCATCTCTTCAGAAAGATAAGCACAAATATATATATTTTTTTATTTCAAAATAATCAACAACAGAAAAATTTGAAGCCTAATTTTCATATTTCTAATAGAGCTTAAGGTTTGGAGAGAAAATCCAGCTATTCCTCCTTATATCCTGACATTGGAACTCCTACACTTAATGTTTTTATTCACACCCATAACATAACTTTAAAAATTATTGGCTTAGTGGCTAAAGTCCTCGCCTTGAATGTGCAGGGATCCCATATGGGCGCCGGTTCTAATCCCGGCAGCTCCACTTCCCATCCAGCTCCCTGCTTGTGGCTTGGGAAGGCAGTTGAGGACAGCCCAATGCTTTGGGATCCTGCACCCATGTGGGAGGCCTGGAGGAGGTTCCTGGCTCCTGGCTCCTGGCTCCAGATCGATACAACACCGGCCATTGCGCTCACTTGGGGAGTGAGTCATCGGACGGAAGATCTTCCTCTCTATCTCTCCTCCTCTCTGTATATCTGACTTTGTAATAAAAATAAATAAATCAAAAAAATTATTGGCTTTTCATGCACTGAAGTATTGTCATGCATACTTTGCAAGATACCAACAGAGAAAAATTATCTTAATCTTTGGTTTTAAATAGAAAAGTTTGAATGCCCGCCTGCCACTTACTGTGAATAAGTTACTCCAGAATCATTGGCATTCACATCTGTATAATTAGAATTTGAACCGAATTCACTATAGGTAATTAAAAATATATATACGATATAGAGAGAGAGCTTTGTATCTTCTGGATCACTCCCCAAAGACTCACAATAGCTGGGATTGGGGAAGGGCAAGATAGTATCCCAGAACTCCATTCAGATCTCCTGTGTGAACAGCAGGGGCCCATGCACTTGAGGCATTTCTTCTGCCTCCCAGGTTGTGCTAGCTGGAAACTGGATTAGAAGTGGAGTAACCAAGAGTTGAACCAGCATTCTGATGTGGAATGAAGGCATATGAAGCAGTAGTATCATCTCCTGCAGTACTAGGTCCACCTCACCTTTGGAGATCCTGGTTAGACTGAATGAAGACATGTCTGTTAGACTATGCATGGGGTAATAGATGTTAATCAAAGGGCTGGCTCCATTCATTATGACATGCAGCAGCCAATTTAGTGGTGTCTCTTTTTTTCTAGATTACAAAATAAAATAGCTACATTGCAGATTGCATATATATTGCAAAAGGAGAAATGAACTAGTATACTTTGTTACTCTAAAGATTTTGGATTTGGTGAGCTATATTTAAGGCAACTTGGGATCCTAATTTCTACTTTTGATGAAATGTGGCCTCGTAGCCAAAGAGCTGAAGGGGAACTTTGCTTCTTTCTGGCCCTCCCTATCAGAGACCAACTGACCTCAAACACTCCAGAGTCTCAGGGTATTCACTTTTGTGGACTTGGACATTCTTTTTATTCTTTGCATGGATGACTGTGTCTATCACTGAGAGAGTATGATGGTGTATGTTGCATGTGACCTCTCTAACAATTTCATTACCTGGATATTGGAGTCCATATTATCTAGTTCAGGAAGACTGTTTTGAAGATTAAATAAGTAGTGCAACAAAAAAGGCAATGACTGTAGCAGTTATTATTAATTCATCTGCAAAAATTATCATTTTCTAGTTCCTTTTCCTCCTATTAATTCCCATATGGCACTGTCACCACAAAGTCTCATGCATTGACTACCCAGGAACAGTCATATTGTAAGCAATGGGGTCTTGAGACTAGTCTGGTCTATGTGAGCACGGCTACTGATTGGTAATAATTTGAACCAAGAGAGACCTTCCAGGAGCTTCTCCAATCTTCATAATATGGTTATGACACTGCTGGGATATTCACATTCGTCATTAGAGAGCACCAGCTCAACACCAGATTCCATACTCCTATTAAGGCTCAGCTTGGATAACAGCAGGCAATGGTTCGGGTAGCTTTGTTTTTGCCACCAAGTGAGAGAATAGGAGTGAATTCCCAGTTTCTAGCATTGGCCTCGCTCAACCATGACTGCAGCAAGCATTTGAAGAGTGAACCAGCAAATGGGAGCTCTTTCTCTTCCTCTCTCCCTGTCTCTCTGAGTCTCTATTTTTCAAATGAATCAAATTTTGTGAGGCTGGAATTGTGTGGTAGTGGATTGAGCTGCCAACTGCAACACTGACACCACAATGGGCATTAGCTGGAGTCCTGGCTTCTCTGTTTCCAATCCAGGCTACTGATGATGCACCGGGGAAAGTAACAGGCAACAGCGTAAGTATTTGAGCTCCTCCCTGTCTCCATGTGGGAGGTCTGGATGAAATTGTTGGTTCCTGGTTTCTACCATTGCAGCCATTTGGAAAATGAACCAGCAGATAGATGTGTATTTGTGTGTGTCCCTCTTTAGCTGTCTGTCAAATAAAATGAGCAAATCTTTAATAAACAAATATTTTAAAAATTAAAAAAGCAATATATTTCTTAAGTATTGGTACTGCTGTTTAAGCATACTCCAAATACACTTTTCATTCCATAGTTTCACTCATTCTTTCATTTATTTATGTTATAGAAACAAGGATACTATTATTATGGCAGGGAAGCCCATACTTCACTACTTTGACGGACGGGGCAGGGCGGAGTCCATCCGATGGTTCTTGGCTGCAGCGGGGGTAGAGGTAGGTGCTGCATTGGTTCATTTTCTGAGAATCTAAGACTGACTGAATCGTTTTTTCTTGGAATGGTCTGATAACTAAAAATAAAATGAATTTAATGCACTGTTCTTAATATGTGGTGTTATGTGAATTTGTGTTTTTGAGATAGTAAAAAATAATTTTCATTCATATAATAATTAGTATAATATGAATAGAATATTAATGGCATTGAAGAATTACTATTCATATTTAAAGTGTGATAATGTCAAATAGTTCTTGCAATTACATAACTGTTAACCAGTTTAATAGTGTAGAGAAACACATTGATTATTTAAGGATGAAATCTTGGCAGCAGGGATACATTCTGAGACATGTGTCATTGGGTGATTTCATAGGAATGTCACCGTGTATGTTCAGATAAATTTAGATGATGCAACTATTACATCCCTCTATCATACAGCACAGTCTATTTTTCCTATGCTATGGTTGTATACAGTATGTTAAGGATGATTCTGTACTGATCATTTAGTCAGTTGCAACATAGTGATACGTTAAAGATACATGAAAGACAAAAAACAAAAAGGTTACGAACCTGTATAGGGCAATTCCTATGGGTAGAATTTCCAGAACCAGAAATGGCTCTAGGTGAGTCACTAAGTGTAAGTGAAAGCTGAAGCATTGCTCTTCATTTCTGAGGCTGAGCAGCACTTGAACCTGGGCTACATTCAATTCATAAGAACGTCTTTCTTCGGTAGTAGATTAACTTTCACTTTAGCTAGCTCTTTTGCTGTTTAAACTCAATTTTCAAAAATTTATCATTGCTTTGTGACAATAATGCTTCACTTAAACTATAAGCACATTGAAGGTCTATTCAAAATTTTTCTCTACATGCTCTTTCTATCAACATTTTTAATTTTAAATGTCTTGTTTATTTGCATTCTTTTACTTTTAAAACATTTTTAAACATCTAAGACACAAGCACACACATCGGCCTAGACCTATCCAGGGTCAAGGTTACCATTGTCATAATTTTCCATGTCCATATCTGGTCCTACTGGAAGATTTCCAGGTAATAGCATTCATGGGACTGCTGCCTGTGGTTGTCATGTCTTGTTCTGGGTCCCTTCTGAAGGACCTTCGTGAGACTCTTGGAAATGTGTCACTCTTTTCTGTTAAACCCTCCACTGTGAATTTTGTTGGAGCTTTTTCATCCCCCCACTTTTTTTTGCATATTTTCATTACTCTTCCCTCTGTATAGGTGACAAGCAGGAATTTTTTAGTTCTATTATAATCTTATAGGAAACCATTGTATAAGGATTGTCCAAGAAGTACATGGAAAGGTGAAATTAAATGGTAATTTATCCTCAAGCAAAAGTTTTAAATTTTATAAAATGTTGAAGTTGTAAAATATGAATGCATTTTTTCCTTTGAGTTTCTGATCATCCATCTTATGTGTCATTTGTGATTGACAGATATGTCATTGTGCCCTGCATGTCTGTATAGAACATATAGAATGCCCTTCAAATGATTACCAAGGAGACAGTGGGTGGATTTGGTGATAATCAATAGGTGATGTGTAGGCAGTGGATGTTATTAAAGTTAACTTGCAGGTAATGAACGGGAGGCAGGAGGTAATAGACTGTAACAAACTGTTTAGAAATCCATTCATTCCACAATCATTGTGTAGGGTACAAGTTAAGTGCAAGGCTGTGGAAGAAAATAAGGTCCCTGCTCTTGGCCTGTATGCACACCAGGCTGCAGAAAGTTGATTCAGTGGCTCACATGAGAGGCAGGACAACTAGAAACCCAAGTGTTAAACTGTCATTCTTCCTGCTGTTAAATAGGCAATGCGGGCAGATGTCTGAGTGACCCTGCCAAGTGCTGCCCTCTACAAACAGAAATCTAGCTCAGACCACAGGAACTCAAATGTGTCAGTCCCAGGAGTTCTTATGCCCCAGATGGCAGCAGAAAAGGAGGATTTCCTGGTCAACTGGTATCTGTTTAAAGCTAATTTGTTTATTTTTAAAAATCTACTTGAAAATTAGGGCAGGGGAGAGAGAAAGGGGGAGAGAGATTCTCCAACTGTTAACTGAAAGAATGTGCAATAGAATGAGTGTGAGCAAAATATTGTATCTTGGTCATTCCCCAGTTACAACAGCTAGGTTTGGACTCCATCTGGATCTCTCATGTGGGTGGCAGATCCAAGTACTTCAGCTACCAACTACTGTTTCCCGGGATGCATTAGTAGGAAGTTAGATTAAAGATTCATTTATTTTTACTGGAACAGCAGATTTAGACAGAAGGAGACACAGAGAGAAAGATCTTCCATCCACTGGTTCACTTCCTAAGTGGCCACAACAGCTGGAGCTGAGCCAATCTGAAGTCAGGAGCCAGGAACTTCTTCCAGGTTTCCCATGTGGGTGCAGGGTCCCAAGGCTTTGGCCCACCCTCAACTGATTTTCCAGGCCACATGCAGGGAGTTGGATGGAATGTAGAGCAATTGGGACAAGAACCTGCACCCATACAGGATCCCAGTGCTCACAAAGTGTAAGGTCGAGCAGGATTAGCCAATTAAGCTATCATGGTAGCCTTCCCCCACTTTTTTTTTTTTAAAGATTTGTTTATTTTTACTGGAAAGGCAGAATTTATAGATGGAAGAAGATGGAGCGATAAAAATAGTAGGAAGCTGGATTAGAAGCAAAGTAAGCAAAAGTTCAGTTGGCACTGTGATACATGATATGGACATTTCAAGTAGTGACCACAGCCACAACTACATCTCTGATGTGGCACTTTGCACCTGAAAGTCCCAGAGCCCTTCCTGCAGCCTCCCAGCGAAGTGGAGCTTGCTTGGTCTTTCTTGATTGCTTCATGCCATGTGGGACTTCAGCTACATCTTTTCTCAATTTTATGAAGAAACAGTATACAAGAAAGCAAAGTGTAGTGCCATTCCAGGTTGGTTGTTTCCCTCCAGTGACATCTCCCAAATCTGGAATTAACCTTGGTCAGTGGCAGGGTTAGAGGGGAGAGGAAAGACACCACCTAGATGAGTATCAATGGGCTCTGGACCATGACTTTTCTTAAAAGGGTCTAATCTCAAATTCTCAATGGCCATTATCAGATTCTTACTTTGTACACAGTATGTATCAGACAGGTATTCAATTGTAATAGTTTGTAATGCTATAGAATGAACTAACATGTTTCTTCTTCCAGTTTGAAGAGAAATACATAAAAACTCGAGAAGACTTGCAAAAGATGAGAAGTGGTAAGTACAATCATCTACATGACTACTAATAAGGGTATTTTGCAGAGGATTGAGAGCCATATAAGACCTATGGGTTCCTGGGCCCAGCGTGGTGGCCTAGTGGCCTAAGTTCTTGCGTTGATCCCATATGGGTGCCAGTTCTAATCTTGGCAGCCCCGCTTCCCATCCAGCTCCCTGCTTGTAGTCTGAGAAAGCAGTGGAGGACGGACCAGAGCCTTAGGACCCTGCATCCACATGGGAGATGTGGAGGAGGTTCCTGGCTCCTGGCTTTGGATTGGCCCAGCACTGGCCGTTGAGATTACTTGGGGAGTGAATCTTCAGATGGAAGATCTTCCTTTATGGCTCTCCTCCTCTCTGTATATCTGACTTTGCAATAAAAATAAATAAATCTTTAAAGACCTATGGGTTTGTAACATCACATCTGGGTGTGGAGAGACACAGAAGGAGTCTAGTTAAAGTCTGAGGGATAGAAAAAAGAGCTAGACCTCTGTGATTACAAAAGAAATGATATCACGTAGGCCCCAGAACTGCCCTTTCTTTGCTTTGTTCTGTTCTCTTCACTGCAAATATGATGCAAGCAAGTGGGATGCCACACTGTCAACCATATACAAGAACCCACAAGTTGTGCATTAGCTGAAAAAAAGAGGAGAAAGAAGTCCCGAGGTATCTTGAGTTACTTCTATTACATTTGTGACAATGTAATATTCATGGAATATATTAAGTGTGTTTGTAATCCATGCAGAATTAGTTGAAGTTTCAGATCAGAGTGTGAGGAGAGAGGAAAAGAAAGGGCTAGCTGCCTTAGGGTCAAGCACACAGGCCCACTTTGCACGTACTGACTACTTAAGAAATATATGAAAGTTTCACACAAAATTAACTCTCAGAACTGGCCTTGATGTTAGAATCACCTCAAAACTAGAATTTCCTATTAAAAATGCATCTGAATGACTTACAATTGCAGCACCTCCTAACTCCACGTATGATCTCCATGAATCATAAAAAAAGACAAATATCTACAATGTATTTAGATAAGAAATAGATATCAGTAGTATAACAGAATAGGAGAAACAGAAGGACTTCAGGAGGATAAAAACAAAAGGCTATTTTACTTGAAAGGCAATAAGGTAATCTTTATACTTTAATTGTGATTAATTTTTTTCTGAGACAATGAAATGCAGAGACATTTTACTCTTTTTTTTCTTCCTTCAAAAGATTCTAGTTTTATGTTCCAGCAAGTGCCCATGGTTGAGATTGATGGGATGAAGTTGGTGCAGACCAGAGCCATTCTCAACTACTTTGCCAACAAACACAACCTCTACGGGAAGGACATGAAGGAGAGAGCCCTGTACGGTATATTTTATGCAGATGACGTGGTAATGACATAGGGTCTATTGAGTGAGCAGGACCCACAGCAGTGGGGATGTGGACACACACTGAGATCTACTGTAGCAAAGTCTTGTGGGGATGAGGGGAGTATTTGTGGGGTGGATTCAGGGAACTGTGACCATACATGCAGTGCAGTTCATGGACATATTCCAGAGACAGAAGCTTCCAGACACTGCTGAGCCATGAGGTGAGCAGGATGGAGGAAGCATGATTTCAGGTGCACAGACTTATAGGGGTGGACAGCTTGTGAGAAGAGTCAATGTCTGGAATGGAAGTTCCCCCTCTGATTTTGATTCTAGTTTTCTTTTAAAGCACACAATTGAGAGACACAGAGGAACTAAATTCCAGGCTCCCGGATTTGACATGAAAGATTGCAGATTTTTCTGAACCAATGGATGGAAGATCTTTCTGTGTCTCTCTCTTTCTCATTGATTATGAATGAATGAATGAATGAGAGTGAGTGAGTGAGTAAGTGAGTGAGTGAGTGAAATAACCATGAAGATTTTTCATTTGGGGCATAGAATGAGCCTTTATGGACAGCACATAGTAAGAGGGACATGACACATCAAGTGGATGTGAAAAGGAAGCTTCCTGAGATGATGACCAAAGTGAGTCAGCAGCCATGATGTATTTGTGCACCAGACGTAGTAGATACAAACCCCTTTTGTAGCATCAATGGTCACATACAGAGCTCAACCACTTCCTTGCATAATCATGGCTCTAGATAGTACTTTGACACCTTGGAACTCCATTTGGCCATGGGTATAAAAATAATTCAAGATATTTATTTACTCCTTAGTAATGACATAAATAAGTAAAAGCCTGGCATGAAAGGGTCTTGCAGGTGATGAATCATTGTGGTACCACCTACATTTTAAAACTGCAAATGCTAACATGGGTGCAATGGACCATTTGGTTGTTTTTACATCCAGGATTGATATGTATACAGAAGGCATAGCAGATTTGAATGAACTGATTATTCATCATCCATTTCTTCCACAAGAGCAACTAGAAGGAAGTCTTACTCAGATAAAAGAAAAAACAAAAAACCGTTATTTTCCTGCCTTTGAAAAGGTAAATGGAAGCTGCCTCACATTTCAAGGCACTAAGAGCTTAGATGTTGTCTTAGTCCTAAGAATAAGTGGTAAGTCTTGCAGTGTAGAGCAGTACAGTGAAAACAGCAGAGATGTTTTGGGGGTTCCTCTAGTGGCGACCGGAACTTGAGGTGTGATGACCGCGCCTAGAATAATTGGGATACAGGGTATGCAAAGGCAAGATGAACCAATGCGCACTTTATTGAGTTTTACTGTGCAACTTATGCCACGATTTTTGCAAGGCAAGCAGGTAGGCAAAAGTTACTAGTTAACTAAACAATAGCATACAAGCTACTCCAATGATAGATCACAAGGAATTTGGGAAACAATCACCAGGTTCCAAACAATAAGATAAGTAAGTATGAGTTACCAGGAACCAATACTTGTAAAAAGACAAAACGAAACAAAACAAAAACAAAACAAACAAACAAACAAACAAAACCCGGATCTAACTCGAAAAGGAATCTAACAGAACTTTGTTTGTACTTGGATATGTTTATGCCACAATCACTAAAAGAAGTAGTTGGTAAGGATGCCTCACACCTCCTCAGTCACGCTTTACTAGCTAGGTGGCCCAGAATCTCAGCAGGAAGTTTACTTCCAGCAGAATTCTCAGTCTGCCGGAAACATTTGAGATTTGGGGTCCTCAGGGCAGGTGGTCTGGTTTTTGGGGATCAAGTCTTCAACAGAGATGGAGTGGCTTTAACTTCAGGAGTACACTTATCCAGTTCTGGAGATGAGATGTCCAGGTTTGAGGCACTGAAAGATCCAGCATCCAATGAGGGCCTGTTCCTTGCCAACTTCTGGCTGTGCTCTAACATGGAGGAGAGGCCAAGGGAGCTCTTCGGGGTTTCCTTTCATAAAGGTGTTAATGCCATTCACGAGGGTTCCACCCTCCAAACCTAATCATGTTCCAAAGGCTGCAGCTACCAACAACACCTTGGGGGAATTAGAATTTCAACATATGGTTTTATTGGGACGCAGACATCCAGTCTATTACGAAAGACAAATAGAAACAGTTGCCTGGCTTTTCTGGAGCATTGACCTTCGTTGTCAAATGACTTCCCTTAGTATTAGTGTAACACAGGAATGCTCAATAAATTGTATAAAAACACAGTTGAAGTAGAATACCGTCAGTTAAACTTTGTCAATAAAATGCAATTTACTAGGATCCAATCTAGAATTCTTTAGAATTTCAAGAACATTTCTGGAACTTATTCTGTAGAAGGCTTAGAGTCAGACTAGAGATTGAGGATGAACATGTGGACACTCTGCTTGATGAAAGGAACATTATAAAGCTTTCTGGCACCATATGCAGAGATACAGGAGAGCAGCTACCTGTCCGAATGTGGTAATATTTCAGGAGGGGACGGTATAGATCCAAATATAATGGCACCTAAGGGAGGGATAGGAGATGGAATCTGGGACATGGCACTCAGAATCGTTGGAATACTGTGTAAAAAAATGAAAATTAAGTTCTGTCATTTCATCAGTTGATATATATGTGCCACATAGCATATATCATAACCGAAATCACTCTTTAAAAGAACATGTCAGGATTATCCCTACCTGAAATCATATTGAATAAAAAGTAAGATATAATTTTCTCTGTCATCCATTTAACAGAAATAAATTCACTGTTCAGATATCAGAGCTTATGAAGAAATAAAGAATTTAAGAGCAGTTGATTCCTCAAGTAGACCCCCTTATTGGTGATACTAACAGTTTAGGGCATATTCACATAGTGACAGGTCTGTAGCTTCCAGAATTTAATAATGGTACATAAGAAAATCAGATCCAGAGTCATGAGAGAACATAGTATATTATAATGTAGTGTTTGATATTGTTGTGTTTTTGGTATCAAATGACTCTTTAAGCTTTGCCATGTGTACAAATCCCAATGGGGTCTTTCTTTGCCAAACATTATCTATATTGCTGATGCCTTGGTTGCTTTTCTTTCTTATTCTTTCCAATTTAGATATTGCTGGATTATTTTCACAAACATCAAATGTTATCCCAGAACCACTTTATGAGATGTTTAATACATAATGATAAGTTGAAAGAAATGTTTAGTGGACACATTAGATTCCTGCCACTTAAAATAAACCCATTATGCTTGATTCTTCACATGCCCTAACCTTACAGCTCCTCTCCATCAGTTGAACACTGCACAATTTCTCCATTTTAAAGTAGTTTCAGGAAGTAATGCAATCTACTCATGGACAAATCAGCTGAAAATACACAGCAGTGCAAATTAAGGGTCAGAGACAATGCTGAAATGTAGTGATGAATTCACATTTGCCTAGATAACTTCAAATTCCAGACATAAAGCAGGAAAAGGAGAATATTAGAGTCTTAACTAGTCTTTTGTGAAAAGAGAGTAGTGGTGAAGAGAGAGCAGCTGCCCACGGGATGCTGGAAAGAGATCAGAATGCAGAGGTTGAGCCTGAGGTACCAAACAAGGCTGCACCCTCTAGGGCATGGGGCAAACAGGACTTGGGGCTGCAGGGGCTAAGTCTTTGGCACATGCAAAAGATGGAGTCAAAGTTGCTGGTTTGTACCATAGTGATGTGGAAACTAGTGAAAGGGGAGCCTGGGCTTTCACCAAACTTTAAGCAAGAACAACCCAATCTGCTCTATATAACAATAGCCATGGAGGAATTTCTGCATCTCTGAACTCTCCAGTGAGCAGCAGAGGTAGAATCCTTTGGCTGTACAGACTTGCGGGGCTGGAGGAGAGTTGGAATCCCAGACTGACTGTGCCTGTGATCATGTTCTGATTCCTCTAATTCACCAGGTGTTGAAGAGCCACGGACAAGACTACTTGGTTGGCAACAAGCTGAGCAAGGCTGACATTCACCTGGTTGAGCTTCTGTACCATGTGGAGGAGCTGGACCCCAGTGCCATTGCCAACTTCCCTCTGCTTCAGGTGACGGACTTCATCATCCTAGGAGGACAGGATTCACATTTCACATTTTAAAATTTGATGTTTAGAACTTTGCTGGAGATACTGTGAGCCCTAGTGCTTTTGTGAATTCTCCCGCCTGGGTCTCCAAAATAAACTTCAAGAGCTTAGTTCTGGCACAAGGAAAGCCCTTTTAAGAAAGAAGTAGTTGAAAATAGTTGGTGGTTGACATAGCAGAATATTAGCATTTTATGACACTGACCCAGCTCTCTCCAGCTGGCTCCTTTCTATGATTTTCTGCATCTCAGATGTGTCCTTGTCTGTCTACACTGAGGCCATCAGCAGTTCTCTTTCTTTGTGATTTGCTTCTCTCAGTTTTGTATCCAGTGTTCAGCCCTGTGTTTCTCTCTGTAAGCTTTTCTCCTCAATCTCCTGTCTTAAAATTGTCTCTCTTTCATTGTGAATTTCTGATTGTGACTGGTTCCTGGTTAGGTTTTAATATTTTATACCTCTAATTCCAAATCAATTTTTGTAAATTTTCATTTGTCATGTTGGAAACTTCTCAGTGTTGATATGACACAATGATCTTCACTATAATTTTAAAGATTTAGTTTGGTGCATAGTGTATAGTAAGAATATAGGGACAATTGGAATATAAAGAGTTGATAATGCCTTAGGGAATATGTTATCAAGCTATGTTTTCTTCCTTTCATCTAATCTCAGTAGGGTCTGTTTTTCAGTCTCCATTCTGGTGCTGATGGAGGGGACTCAGTTGGTCTTTGTCTAGCAAGGTGCAGTCTTCCTGGGATGTGCCCATGGTGGGTGCTCTTTGTTCTTCTCTAAGACTGTGATCTGTGCCTTGCAGGCACTCAAGACAAGAGTCAGCAACCTCCCCACTGTGAAGAAGTTCCTGCAGCCTGGCAGCCAGAGGAAGCCACCTGTAGACGATAGACTCAGAGAAGAAGTGAAGAAGATTTTCATGTAAAGTTGGTGTGGACTCACAGCCCATTTAATCAGTCCTCTGAAGCTTTACAAGAATGAAACGGATGCTCTACTGTGACATCAATAAACTGTTTCAAATGATATTAATAATAAAATAAGATCATCTGAATAGACAATTAAAATATGTTGTTTTTATTAGGATCTAGTATTAAATCCAATTTCCAATGTCTATCTCTTTCTTGGCATTTTTAAGAACAACAAGAAGAAAAATATATAGTATTTGCTTTAAGCTTTCCAGGTTTACTCTGATAATATGGTATATGATAATGAAGAATCAAGTATAGAAATACACTTTTGAAATTCTTAGAGAAGCACAGCATTATAGTTATCTGAAGAACTACATAATTATAATCTTTTTTTCTTGAAAAGCTACTTCAGTCTTGATAGCAATAATTGTTATTCTTGCTAAATTTTAAGAATCTGTTTTGTCAACCATGAACTCTTCAGTATTCTGGGAAATGCAAAGTTATACAAACCAAAACTGTGATCTCAGGTGATTCTGTGGTCCATCGCAGTGCATGTGCATCTAATCTTTCACTGTGTCCCTTAATGTTCAGTGGGGCACAGACATAGGTGTTATTCTCAATTCCTTGTGTCACTCAAACATGGGCTTCCAAGACACATATTCTTTATAAGAACATGTGTAAAGAATGTGGATGTAACAGCCATTTCCCCTGGCATGTGTTTGGGCCAGAATCCACAGGTAGAGAGCAATTTCTCGCCTCCCTAACAAACTGAACCCACGTTCATTTCTCTCAGGTAGTCTGGGCTGTGGCACATAGAGTTCTCCTTCTCCAGAGTGGGTTTCCCCACAGGGAAAGGGGACAAGTGAGCAAACTCATGATGCATGCTGACTGCAAGCTTAACTCCTCCCAGTCTCCTCTCTACTTACCAACCAAGTGGTTTGCCTACAGTGCACGTGTGTCAATATTTCTGCTTTCCTTAGATCCTTCAGTGAGTTCATGTTTCTTTAATGTGACCTCACATTCTTCCTTACTCCTTGACCCCCATTCTAATCCCTCACTAGCCTTGTATAGCCTTGACATGGTAGACCAGCCAGATTGGCAAGGATTCTGAAGTATCTGGTGACAATTTCAACCTCAGAAATTATATGTTTCCAAGAGTGCCAGACTTTTTTTTATCCTTCAATCAAATAATGAGCCACATAAAGCAAAGACAGTTCTGAATATATTAATAATTGAAATGCACAATAAAGCAGGTGTGCAAATGGGGAAAAAGAGCAAATGAAAAGATAGATGAATATAGATTAAAAAATACTTAATCTCTGAGTACTTATAGTGATCAAGTACTGAAGAAACGGTCCAAGTGGTTTAGGGGAACACTCCTTAAGACGGTGTTCCTGAGTTCCAGATATCAACCAGACACTAACATTGAAGTGAAAGGACTTTGACCCTTACAGAGCCTCCTGCAAACTGATTTCTTCTCAGAGTGAATTCTCACAGGAAGTTGAGTGAGAGCAAATCATGTCTCAAGGTACAGTTTGAGGGTTCCATCATTTATTGTCTGAGAAAGTGTATCCTTTTAGCTACCAAATGTCTTGGAGAGGAATTTCCTGGACCTCAACTACCTAATGTGCATGTAGGACATGACTGAGTGGGCTTATCAGTGCATGAATGTTAGCACAAGGCCTCCTTGCCATCAGATGGCCCCTGGGCTCTGTTAAGAGCTTGTGTTACAACTAAAAGCTCAAAATGGAGTTAGCACTACAAAAGCAGAGTCATATCAATCATGATTTATATACCAATTAACTTACATTCAAAATTCCTAACATTAAAAAATGCACCTCACTGCAAGCCTTTTCCCTCTGATACTGTCATGTCAATCACCCCTACCTGGCTGGTCCTTCTCACCTGGTCACACTAACTCCCCACCTCATTACTTCCCAGGGAGCCTTGCTCTCCCATCTTTGCCCTCCATTGAACACCAGAGTACTTCTGTAGACCATCATGCCTGTCTCATTGTTCTGCGACCTTGTGGTGTTGATCACAGCAAATGTGTCCCAATTGCTTCATCGCAAGTGATTAACGACAGCATGCACAAGCCCATGCACAGCTCAAGGGCACAGGCACAAGCTTATGGGTGCTGAGGATTCCTTACATGTCCTGATTCTCTGTAACCACTCAGTTTCCTATAAAAATTTTTATTCATATATGTCAAATGATTTTTGGACATTTACAAGATGCCAATGCTAGTAAACCAAAGGTAAAATAATCAGTATAACACAACTGAGGAAACTAGGATAGTTCACATTTCATGACTTCAAGGAATTATGCAATATTGTTATAGCATAACAGAGTGATTTTGTTTAGAAAATGCTTGCTTTTAAAAGGTAAAAAAGGGGATTTGTAGGCAAAGTTCTATGATATCTGGTATTGCTTCAAAATAATCTCACAGTGATGGGGAAAAATCCCTGGGAATGGTTAAGGGGTTCTTGGATGTCTTGTTTTAGGTTGGGTGGTTGAGAATCCAGAGCTGTGTTCAGCCATACCGTGTCCCTGAGAAGACGAAGAAGATAGTGTTGGTGGGGTCTCAAAAATTAGGAAGCTTTAGGTCAGGTCCCTTCTAATTTCTCCCAGCTTCTAATGATTACTGCACTCCGTGGCTCCTGAGTCTATCCCCAGATCACACTAATCAAGTCTCTGCCTTCTACCTTCTCTCTTTTGCCTGTTTGTTTTCTCTGTTCTCAACATTATCAGAGTATATGTGATCTGATATAGTATCTTCACTAATAATTCAGGATAATCTTTTCTGATAAAAGATATCTGAAAAAATTCTCTTCCCTGATAAGGTCGCATTCATGTGGACACATGCACATACATGTACACACACATAAACACAAACACAAAACAACAAAGTACTGCAAGGGATTGAAACATGAACTCATTGTTGAGGAGGCTTTTGTGACTGAACCCACTCAATGATGTGGGCTGGAAGATTTCTTGGGAAAGGAAGAGAATGACAATATCAGTGAGCATGGTACTTGTTGAACTGAGGTGTTGCCTCTGCTCTAAACCTCTCTTAATGAAGTACCTCAGTTGTACATGGATAGGGGATACATTTTTAGCATGCATCCAGGTCCCAGATGTGACAGGTGCATATTGGGGAGATGGATATATCTAACTAGTAGTTAAAGTAACAGGATTACACTGCAAAGTACCACAATTTCAGCTCACCTTAATTTTAACTAACTGCCTGGTAGTATTCCATAATTTCTCTCGTAGAGATTTTCATTACTAAATTTTATTTACATTTCACATTTTATTATTATTACTATTATTATTATTATTATCACTTTATGATACAGAGCCATAGGCTACTGGAATTTCCCTTAGCCCAACCCCAAATTCCCCTTCCCCCATCACCTAGTTCCTCTATATCATTACTACAGTATAGTTCTTCATACACAGTCATATGTCCATCATTGCAGGCATGGACAATGGCAGAGTCTAACAGCCTATTGTCAAGGTATAGTAAACAGTTTCATTGTAAGTCCATCTTCGTCAGGAGGTAGAAATGCATACTACATTGTATCCTCACATCTGGATGTTAGTCTCCATTTCATAGCTATTGTACATCCCCTTAAATGAAAAGTCATAATACAAAATCAACAATTGAAAGAAAAGTAGAAATTTACAATGCCATTAACATGTTACTAGATATGACAGTCTCCATTGCACAACTACTATAACAAACCTTAAATGAAAGGCAACAAAACAAAATCAACAACAGGAAGAAAAAAGAAATTAACAACACCATGAAGTTAAATAACATGCTACTAAATGATTAGCATGTAGCTGAAGAAATGAAAATCAAAAACCTTCTCGAAGAAAATGATGCTACTGTATGATGTGTGAGTCATTGAAGAATTCAATCAAAAGAAAGTGTTTTTGAAGAGATGAAACTAACAGAAAACATCAAAACCCATGCAATATCATTTCTGCTGATTTTTTGTTGGTGAAATGTGTCTCTTCCAGACAAAAAATAAATGGGTTTTGTTTTTTAATCCAGCTTACTAATCTATGATGTTTGATTGAGCTTAATCAATTTATATTCAGGGTTAATATGTATGGATGGTACTTTGGTCCTGTCATTTTAGGGAAGGATTGTTCATTAGTTTAGTCCTCTGTTGTCATTTTACTGGGATGTTCTTCCTGTTTGCCTTTGGTTTTGTTGGGTACTATTCCTCTTCTCTGTCAAGAGAACATTTTGAAGTATTATTTGTAGGGCAGGTTTGAAAGAGGCAAATTCTTTTAACTTTTCTTTACTGTGGAAGAATTTTATTTTATTTTCAAAGACAAAAGAAAGCTTTGCTGGATATGTTATCCTAGACTAACAATTTTTTTCTTTTAGAATCTGGACTATGTCTCTTTATTCTCTTCTTGCCTGTAGAGTTTCCTGTGAGAGATCTCCTGTGAGTTTAATTGGCATTCCTTTATATGTCAATTGATTTTTTCCACATGCACATTTAAGGATCTTTTCCTTATGTTCAATTGAAGAGAGCTTGATGATCATATGTCGTGGTGAAGATCGCTTTTGATCAGGCCTGTTGGGAGTTTTGTGCCCTCCTGGATGTTGTTTCCCAATTCTTTCTCTAGATTAGGGAAATTTTCCTTTATTATTTCATTAAATATATTTGTAAAATAAGTTTCTCTTTCTGCACCATGTGGGACTCCCATAACTCTTCTTTTTGGCCTCTTAATAATGTCTTTCAATTCTTGAATACTTTTTTTGGCCTGATCCAGCTCTGTTTCCAGCTTTTTGTTTGTTTCCCCCTGATGACAGAAAATATCGTCCAATTCTGAGATTCTGTCTTCTGCTTGCTTCATTCTATTTTGGAGACTCTCCACTGTACTTTCAATTTGCCCTACTGTATTCTTAATTTCTGATATATCAGCCTTGATTTGCTTTATTATTGCTATTGCTTGTGTAATATATTCCTTAAATTCTTTGAACTCTTGTATG